AACTTAATACGGATGCTATAAAAGTAAAAAAAAAAGTCTATATTTGATGTTTTTTTTTTATCTCTTCCGGGTTGGCCTTCAGGATGTGGTCGAGCTTTAAAAAATATATTTTATTGAATGATTGTGATTTTATTTGAATCGCTCCAACTTGCGATTACATTTCGGTAAGTAGTTGTTTACATAGGCTATAAATTGGTGACTCTCTTTGAAATTTGAATCGGTTGGCCTTCAGTGAGTTACTTTTCATCAATATTTTCTAAAATATAACTTTTTAGAGCTTCTGCTTCGCGTTTGTTGTTGATCCAAACCTCAAGCAGCGCTGCATGTGATAACTCATAGACACCTGCAAAATGTAAGATTTCTCGAAAAGGGACAAAAACGGGCCGAAAGCATTAATACCATTTGATTTAAACTTGGTGATTGGTGGTGCTGTACAAAAGCAATATTCTACAGAGCACACCTAACTTGGGGCAATTCAATAACAATATTGTATTCACAGTAGATTTACATACCGTGACCTGCTTTTACTATATTTACAATTTTTTTTACAACTCAAAGCACCACTGAATCAGCTGACTTTTAAAGCGTGCAGAAATTAATGGTATTCCGTACAAATTTTCTAAAATTAGTTTTGTTCTATCTTGTTATTAAGGAATCGAAAAATTAAAACCGCATTAAAATATTTAACACAAAAAAAATTAATGCCAAATTTTTCCGATAGTGACCTATAAACAAATTTGCAAAAATAACTAATTTTGATTTACAAAGCTTGCGAGTTTTTAATGTTCAATTATTTATTGTATGGATTTATTTCATGGATTTGTTACATGAATAAAGAAGTGTTTAAAAACTATGGAATATATTAAAACATTTTGTGTGAACAGCAGCATCGCATTTGCATTATTTAAATGAAGAATACCTTTGACAAACACGACGACATGGTTTTTCATATTTACGATGTCATGATCTGTTATGTCTGTTCTTATAACATTCAGTGCTGTTTATGAATTTAAATTTGGTGCATATGAAATCCCTGGTAGCTCTGGACTTGCATGCCGCAATAAGCACGTTCTAGTATTTATATAGAAGGTAAGTGATCCGGCTCTTTGCCCGATTAGTTCCTAGTAGGAACTTCCTACATTTGCTAGTTCTAGAAAGTTTGCATGATTGGTCAGAACACACTGGAGCTTCCATGAGTTAACCATAGCACCGTAAATAACAGCCAATACAACTGTTTTCCTCGTATTTGTGGCAAATGTCAAAGAGTTCGACTATGGAATCGACGGTTCAAGGGCTTGATCATGGTTCGATACATTTGTAACCACTGATTTATCATTTCATCGGGAGATCAACAATTCATTCTTTTTCTTGAATATATAATCCGACGAACTTTACTTTTAAAGGTTAATGGCGTACGTTAATAAATGAAATGAAAAACATATTTTATTCAAACTCAATGCTTCTATTAAGTAAATTGGAACTTATGCATATACAAACTAATAATTTTTAGTTTTAATAATTTGGAGTGTTCGCTAGAAAATGTAGTTATTCTGGTGTTTCGCCACAAAGCAAGGAAATTCAATGGCTCTGGTGGCTGAACTGAAAATTTGGAAATGGAAATTTGACTTTGCCCTTAAGGCAGCACAATCCAGGCGTTGCTCCAGCAAACTTGAATGCCCCACAATGCATGCAAACTACTTTCAATGGACCAATGCAAACGAAAGGATGCGAGCTGTAGTCAATTGCGCAAGCGTATAGAAACGCTGCTCGATTTAAACGAATACTTTCTCGTTGGTGATCTGTGCGATTAGCTCTACGATTTCTTCTTTCTAATCTACCCGTTTCACGGACTGCCTCTCTTTGCTATTGTGTTTGAGAAGTACGAACAGCGGCCCTATATCGTGCCTCACCAATGCAGCGCAATTGTCGTTCTTCATCAGTTAATTGATTCGCACTGTTCCGTAGCCTAATTGCATTACGGACCAGTTGGGAAGATTTTATCTTCTTCGTCGCGGCATCTATATTAATCTGTATACACATTTTTGTGATTTGTGTGAGTATTACACAAATCACAAATTTATTTACCACTTTCCACACAATTTCCCGACCTTTCCAACAAACAGGCAGTTTTAAACTACTTTTTTTGATTTTTTGCTGGTATCGAGCGGGTATTTAATAAAACTTGTTTAAAACGATTGACGGGACTTTATCTACTACATATGCTGATTAAGAAAAGATTATAGTTGATGGGGCTCTGTTAGTGGCAAACAACTGATAAAAATCGCAGTATACTCTTCAATGCTATAAATATGAGATAACTGGTCATTGAGGAAGGCGTAAATAGTGATTTTGTTTTAAGTTTGACAGAAAACTCACCAGATTCCCAATCTTCCTCTCCATCTTTTGGAGAAGATTGTTTATATGTGATGTATGAATCATAATTGATGTGTTTATTATCATTTATACTTCGAGTATCGGAGGTGATATTAGTTTCACCATTCTGCCAAGTGGTTAAGTTACTTTTTGTAATGGACGGTGGTTTAAAAGTATGAATATTTTTAAAATCCTTTCCTGTGGAATCATTATTCAAGTTTGATACAAGAGGTCTGTAATTGGGCTGTTTGCGTTTTGACGCAGTCGAGACATTTTTTAAATTGGTTGTTGTGTCGTATTGAATTTTAGTCTATGAATATTAGATTTTATATTACATATTTTGTTCCGGGTAAAGTGTGTTCAGACTTACCGATACATCCTGGCTTTCCAATGCGGCTATTGGTTGTTTTTTCGATTTTGTATCATCATTGAAACACGCTTCTCCCTCAAATAATATGGAAATCTGTAAAAAGAAACTCTCTTATATTGGGATTGAAAACTTTGTAGAGTAATTTGAGAAATATTATATATTTATAAAAAGCTGGATATGTCGGATTATAATAATATTCCCAGTGTATTTTGGTCTCCCGGGTGCCTACGAATCCCCTTTTTGATTGTTCTCAGTGTATTATCACTGTTTCCTTTGTACTTCGCTCTTTGTCGTATGTTTCATCTCCTTGGACGAGTTGAATTTGTTTATATTTCGGCCCAGGTGTTCATTAGCGAATGTATTCTGGGAAACTTTCTCGGAGAGGATAAAAGGAGCGAGAGAAAGGGAGCGCACATAAAGCGTGTTCCTCTGCGGTAATGAGTGTGAGGGAGGCGGATATAGAGACAAAGGGAAATTGCGTAACGAGTAATAATTGTCTCGGAGATCTGGTTTGCAATACCGAGAAAGTAGTTGCGTTAGAGTTTGCCCACGCCACGAGCCAAGCGGAGTAATTCTCTATTGACGTAGGACCCTTGTTAAAATGGCAGATCCAACCCAGGAAAATATTTATCCAACAGATACAAAAACTAGATTATAGCCCTTTCAACATATAGCTTCTTCGAGTGTTGAAGTGTTGAGTCCCCCCGACCATCCTGTCGTGAAAGGTAAAAGAGTTAAAAGAGCCCCCGAACACGTTTTAAAATTTCCTAATCAAGTCATTCGCCACTCATACTTGTTGTTGACGCCACTTAAATATTATATCAGCTTAATGAACTTTAGCATTAACCATACAGTATATAGATGTGACAGTTTGTACAGCGAACGTGTCACAGCTGAGTTTGACCATATGGTTGACCATACTGGAACCTATACTGGAAACTATACTATACTGGAAAGGGCAGAGTGGGCATAATTCAGAGTGGGCATAATTCATATAAAAAGATCAATTATATGGATCGTAAAAACAGGTCTCTGAAAAATATATGTAAATTTATTGAAAAAGTTGATATTACGACAGCAACGAAGTCGAAAGCCGACGGCATTTGCACAATATTTATTTACACAAGTAACAACAAAGACTATATAATACATTTTTGTACATTTCATATCATATATCTGCTCATATCTCCTAAACTAAAATTATCTTGAAAATTAGATTCGCTAAAGCTCTGGAAAATGTTTTACTAGATGTGTACATTTATTTTAGTCAAAGTTCCTAAAATATTTTTTAATTTTGCCACCTCTTTGTGGATGAGTCTCCACTGTAAATACAAGCAATGCAAACAAATAACAACTTTAAAACCAAACTCGGCCTATTCAGGGCCGGATCAACCCTCAACCGGGCCCTGGGCAACCATCAATCTGGGGGCCCTCCTTTATTTTTTATTTATCTCAGTGTCTATTATATTTTTTATTCATTATTTGTAGTTTTGTTTTTTCAACAACATTTTTCTGTTATCCCTATTGACGAAGCCGAAAGCAGAGGAAAAGGCTAGCCTAAAAGAGAATGGAAGAAATACCCCGTGCGCCCGTCGCTACAACAGCCCTCAAAACAAAACGAAAAACCGAAATTCAGTTCAAGCTGCAAAAAATTGTAGAGCCCACACACAAGCACAGTATATGTGAATACATGGCACACACACATTTACGTAACCTGGAAACAAACTCAAAACGGTTTCGGAAAATATCCCTGTAGTACCAAAGGGGTGAATTGACCCTATTGAACTAGCTCCGCGCCGATTACCGCGCAACTAGTTATGCAACTAGTTACGCGGGAATCGAACGGCGACTAGGCCTTTGTCGGATACAATATACTAGTTCTGCAACTAGTTACGCGGGAAGCGATCAGCGACCAGTCGAAACAGAAAAACAGAAACGTAGCCGCCCTCGCTTTGTTTTCGAAGTCGACAAATAACCGTAAAACCGTGGAATTATGAAGAAACCGCGAAAAAGAGTTAGACTACAGTGCGGGCTCAGTGCTGCAACATGCAATTCACACCAAAATGGTAAGTTATTCGTGATACTTTACTGTACTTGCACTCGTGGAATGCAAGAGACAAAAAATTACACAAACAAAATGCATTTGTTCTCCGCGCGTATGCTTTGTGCGTTGATTTTTTTCTACTTCTGTGCTAGATCTAGTTGCTGGAAGAAGCATTTGAAATTGTTTTGCCATTATTTCATTAAAAAGTGAGAAATAACACTTCAAATTAATAAATTAAACGCCATACAACAGGTACGTGACAAGATATTACATATTTTGAATAAAATGATGAGCAAACGGCGTTTGCGTAGACTCCGAACCTTGAAAAGTTAGCGTCGTGCAGTGAAATAAAAGTGGAACAAAAATTATTAGAAAAAGAATTAGAAGAAACTGGAATACAGATAGAACAGGAAGAATTAGTTTATGAGGAAATTCAACCAAATAAATCGTCATTAAATATGTACTTTCAGAAAATCTACAGCAGGAGAATGCCGTTGTTCGTGGTAAGACTAATAAAGATTAATATTTGTATTAGCAAAATTAATACCAAAATTCCTTTCAGATCAATTAAACGTCCATGAAAAAATATTAGCTGACCAAACAGTTTTAATAAAACAGCTTACAAAGGAGAAGGGCGATATGAATTCTGTTCGGGACCAGTTCCCGATTGAAACGGACGAGCAGCTGATGAAAATGGAGGAGAATATAAAAATGAATAGAGACATTTATGTAAGTAAATTAAAACTCTAAATAATATGATATGATAATAATATTTTCTAAACCTTCTTCTTGAATCCTTCTATTTACAGATTTCAACAAGCAAATCCATATTACAGCCAGCCGGAGTGCTTGTCAACTTAAAATTTATTTTAAGTCAGGAAAGTGTACTGGCATATAATGTGGATGGAGTACAAGGGAAGAAAGTCCTCAGGAGCCACTCGGAGTTTTATGGAGCTTTGCTAGGTAAAGTACACTACTAGTGTTTATTATATTTTAATTAAATTAAACATATAATTATTACAGAATGTATTCCGCCTGGAGACGAAGCACCAGAAATGCTGATGCGCAAAGCGATGCAGAGGGTGAAAGGAGGGTGCAGAGGGTGTTTAAGCAAAGGTGTACCAAACCAAAAAATGAGTTTAGGCTAGGCTAGATTTTAATATATATTTTAAGTTTGAATTTTGAAAGAATTTTGAATTAAACATTCATATAACACAATTTTATATTTAATTTATTTATTATAAAGCCAGAAAGCTGCTGGTCAATCAGCTACTGGTAATCAAAGGGTAATCGATCGGGAACTAGTTGTTGACGATCTACTGGTAACTAGGCCGTACCCAGCGCCTAAGCAACTAGCTACTGGTAATCGTAGGGTAATCGATCGGGAACCAGGGGTGGTTACGCCCTAGGACATGCATGTGTTAAATTCTCCACTGAAATACATTGTCGGGGAAACGAACCGGAACTAGGGACATGAGAATGGTACCTAGTTCGGCACCGGTACCGAACTAGTAGCCTGGTACTAGAGGGTAAGAATTCATAAATATTTGTAGTGTCTGTGTACACACACACACTTGCAATTCTCGGCTTGCTTTCGCATCTCGTCATGAATCGAACATGTCGAAAAAATGCCGAACGTCTCAGCACTCCCAGCCGAAGGGAAGGCCTGGGGGTGCTGGACAGAAAACTCAGCTGCGACACGTTCGCTGTATGAACTGGCACATCTACATATATACTGTATGGTTAGTGACTTTAGCAATGTTAACATGAATTTGTGAATGAATTTGAATTTGGCGCTAAAAAGAAAATGTACAAGAAGAGAATCGCAATCGATAGTATCGATAAAAACATGTATGAATATCTATGATCACTAGAATTAATATAGAGAAAATAAACGAACGAGCAAGAACTAACATCGAGCGGATTGAGGAATTTCAGGATTTCTGAAGAATTCTATTACGAAACTTTGGAGGGACTTGGCTCGAACATTTGGCGCCCGAACAGGGACCTTTGGAGAAGGTTCATATTCCGGATGGAGTTCACAATTGGAACTCAATAAATATTTCACCCAGAGTCTGGCTGACGGCGACTGCGACAGCGGCTTCGTTATCGAATTGTAAGTGTTAACTGCATTGAGCATCTAATAGCCTTTTTACACTGGGCGCGTCTGCTATCGATATCGGCATAGACGCAATGAAGCAGAAAAGGCGTTTACATTGGAAGACGTGCGTCTTGAATTTGGATTTGGGTGTTTGATGACAAGGAAAGATACAAAAATTCTTGAAAATCAACAGAATTAAGCAAGACGTCAGGAAAATGGACGAAAAAGAATTGATTCTCATATTTAAATATTATTTTCAGACATTTCATTGTAGAGTTTGTGGGAGTTCTTCTTCAAATTATGAAAACCACCGAAGTTCGTCTCCAGCAGTGTCTTAATGGCATCAGGGGGTCAGAAAAATTTCATATGATAATAATACAATCAGTTTCAAGTATTTTATTTAATGACTTTATGTATATTTTCACCTTTTTGCACAATCATACATTTTTAGCGCCAAAATTTGATTTTTGATCTACAATTTTTTGTTGTTATTAGTGGTGATAGTTGCGCTGATAGGCAGAAAATACCAAAAATTACCAAAATCAATCGAATATACCGAATAGACGCACATGAATCAGACACTGACGCAACTTTTTGCCACCACTAGGGCCCTATGCTTAACCTATGTAAAAAAAACTGCGTCTTCGCCAAGACGCAAAGAAGCATGACGCAGCCCCAGTGTAAACGGCCTATAATATTTCTTGCAGGCAAGGTTAATTCCAATTCGATGTGTGTGAAAAAATATAAAACTTATATCTAGTGTCAAGTGGGTTCGGCTTTGAGATTTCTGCACTTTAATTATTCTGTAATCGGGGTCTCGGGTAGGAAGCATATTACGATTACAGTTTGTCTCGAGTGCATAGGTATCTGCATACCCACACACGCCCTTATGCGTGCACTGCTGTCTGTTGAAGCTCGGCATATACATACATAAATATGTATGCAGTTACATACCGGCACATTAGGAACAGTAATTCAGTCAACCGACTTTTAGTCGGTTCTCTTTTGTCTGCAGATTCGTTTGGGCGCAAGTACATTTGTTGGTGCAGTGGTGCACAGTGATCAAATGTTGATTAATATTGAATCGTGTGGTGTTGTGAGAATTTAAAGATTGCCGATTACTGAATCGAGCAACTAAACTTAAATGTTAAGGGCAACTTGTCCCTTACTTATGCCAATATTGGGCATTTTATTTGCTGTAAATTTCCAAGGGTAACAATTTGTGAAAAGAAAAGTGCAAATGGCACCAAAAAAAGAATAAAGACGCGGAAGCGCTCACCTCTCGAACTGGGTTAGTGAATTCCTTTAACCGTAACAAAAGTTATGTCGAAAAAAATTGCAACTCCATGACGGCTGCAGAGCTGGAAGCCAAGTTAAGTCTAATTGAGACAAACTTTAATCGGTTCTGTAATATTCAAGGCAAGATCGAGCAAGATAGTGTAGACGCCAGCGATTATGAAAGCCGCTACTAAGTTGAGGAGGTTTATTGCGAATTGAAGGCCAAGTTATTGAACTTTCTTGGAGATAGGGGCCGGCGGCATTCTAATGCCGTGACCTACTAAACAGTACACAGGTACCTCGTTCATCGAGACTTCCCAAACTTAAGCTGCCTGGATTCTCTGCAAAGTTTACTGAATGGACTAGCTAGTACAATACCTTTACTACTCTAATAGAATCAGACTCGGAACTGCATGAGTTGTCTAAATTTATTCATTTGAGGTCATCGTTGGGAGCTGGTCCTCTAAGTACGATTGAGGGCTTGGACAGGTACTATTATAGCAAGGCCCTACGTTTATTGCAAGAGCGCTTTGAGAATAAAGCAATTATTCTGCAATCACATGTAACCGAGCTATTCAACGTAAAGCGTTTGAAGAATCCAGTTCCAGATGACTTTAGTGTGCTAGTAGACAATGTGAATTCCCAATTAGTAGCGCTCAGGTCGTTAGGCGACGACAAGGAGATTCAAGGCAGTAGTCTTCCAGTTAATTCGAACAAGACTCGATGAAAAGACGATGGATCGGTGGGAAGTTGAGTGGGATAGCAGGAAGTTACCGGCGTGGTCATTGCAGTTAGCGCAGTTCTTGATAAACAGAGGAATTAATCTAGCAAATAGGGAGGTCCGACGAGGCAATGGAGGCCGACCCACTGGTAAGATTGAGGGTAAAAAGGCGACTTTAGCTGCAGCAATAGGCATCAATGGCACGTTTGTCCTGGAACCCATGGATTGAAAGGGTGTCCAAAGTTTAAGGAATTGTAACCGTTAGAACGTTACCAGGAGGTAAAGAAGCACTCGCTGTGCCTGATTTTCTTTAGTAAGCGACACAACTAGAGGCTGTAACGGTCCTCGGTGTAAGATTTGCAGCAAGCCTCACCATGTGCTTTTGCATCGAGAGGCACTAGAGGCACCTAAGGAGCCAAGGCCTAAAGGACAGGCGGTGCAGGAACCGAGCTCGCTAAATAGCTCCTTGTTGTCTAGATCATCCACAAATTTCCTTGCGACCGTGGTGGTTCAAATCAAAGTTATAGGCGGAGGATATCGCAATTGCAGATGCGTATCAGATTCCGGCTAGGTTAGTCTGAAGTCTGGGCCTAGACATGCGCGATTCATCCATGCAACTCAGTGGAATTGGCAATGCAAAATCTCAAATTATTGGGGAGGTGCAAGCGACGTTTAAATCAAGAGTCACTAGATATATGGCGACCGAGAATTTGTTTGTGTTAGAGGAAATAACGCAGTATAACCCAACCAGCTTAAGAAGATTTCCCAAGTGGGTTCCACCCAAGGGAGTTACTTTGACATGCTAGTGGGTGTCACTCTGTTCTTCAAGCTCAAAAATCTCTGCTAGGCTGGGTCGTCGTGGGTGAATGCACAAGGCCATCTGGAGTTGCCCTGGTAGCAAGTGAAGATGAAGCAAAAAAGCAGCTGCAAGAGCTCGTAAAAAAATTTTGAAAGTGCGAAGAAGTCCTTGAACCAGTCGATAAGTTCACAGAGGAAGAAAAACATTGCGAAGATTGTTTTGTTACGCATGTTAAGCAAGAGGCCTCGGGACATTTGGTCATTTAGAGGCAATAAGGCCTACAGGGAAAAATAAAGCTGAATATTTTATGTCTCATCATCCGGTTATTCGCCCAGATAGTTTAACAAGAGGCGGTGAAGCGAAGTTTGTATATGGATGATATGGTCTGAGGAGCGGATACAGTAGAAGAATTGACAACGTTGAAAGGGCAAGTGACTGCATTATTGGGCCTAGGGAAGTTCGAGCTGCACAAATGGCGCAGCAATTGTCAGGGAATGGACAACAAAACTTACCTAGAGCCTTTAATGATAAAAACAGAGGACGCAGCTAAAACCTTGGGAATATATTGGTCAAGTCTAGAGGACAAATTCCAATTCTCTTATAACATACAAATCTTCTGGATCACCACGAAACGATCAGTGTTGTCCGAGTTGGCTCAGGTATTTGATCCGTTAGGGTTTTTGAGTCCCTGGCTAATCTTGGGCAAAATCTTCATTCAGGAACTTTGGCTTCTAAAGCAGGATTGGGACGAGGAGCTACCACGAGCTACTCAACGCAATGGCGTCGATATATGGAAGATCTGAAACTAATTGATAAATGTTCAATCCCACGATCCTCCATTCCAATTACCGCAGATCTATGCACGTTAGAGCTTTTTGGGGTTTCTGACGCATCCAGCAGAGCTAACGGCGGCGTCATTTATGCTCGTGTAAGGGATAAAAGTGGTGGAAGTTCAGTGCGACTAGTAACGGCCAAGTCCAAGGTCGCCCTGTTAGGGTAACATCATTGCCACGGCTAGAGTTACAAGGAGCACTTTTAGTGGCCAAGCTAATGGCAAAGGTTTGCTCCTGTCTGCATTTACAGGTAGAAAGGGTTAGATGTTTCACGGATTCCATAATTGTGTAGAATTGGCTATCGTCACATGCCAGTCGTTGGAGCACCTTCGTTGCCAACAGAGTGGCTCAAATAC